AGCAGCAAAAGGCAGCAGACACAAGTGCGAAGCCCACGGCCGCTGCACACACGCAAAACCCTAAACCCTAAACCCTAAACCCTAAACCCTAAACTCTAAACAAGAAATAAGAGATCCGATAAAAGAAAACCGAAACGAGAAACCTGAAAGCCGAAACCCTAGACCCTAAACTCGAAACCCTAAACCCTAAACCTTAAACCTTAAACCCTAAACCCTAAACCCAAAACCATAAACATGAAACAAGAAACTTGGAACCCTAAACCCTAAACCCTAAACCCTAAGCCCTGAACAAGAAATCCTCAACGCGAAACCCTAAACCCTAGCAACTCGCACAAAAGCCAGTTTCCGCATCTCCTTTAGCTGTATACCCCACGCCCTAAACCCTAAACCCTAAACCCTAAACCGTCAATCCCGAACCCTAAACCCTAAATCATCCACCACAAACTCTAAACCCTAAATCGTCAATCCTCAACCCTAAACCCTAAGCCCTAAGCCCTAAACCCTAAACCCTAAACCCTAAATCCCACACCCTAAACCGCACACCCTCAACTCCAAACCCCACACCCTCAACCCCAAACCCTAAACCCCAGACCCTAAACGCCAAACCCTGCACCGCAAACCCTAAACCCTAAACCCTAAACCCTAAACCCTAAACCCTACTTCGAAAATGATGGTGAGGATGCAGATGATGGGGGCGAGTGTTGCAGCGCAAACAGCAATTTTGAATTTGACTTTGTAAGAAGTGATGCTGCTGCAGCAGGCTGCGAGTCTGCGGCGGCTGGGGAAGCAGCAGCAGCAGCAGCAGCAGCAGCAGCGGGGCCCCACAGGTGCAGCAAGAGCCTGCAGCAGCGCCGTCAGCAGCGGCAGCAGCAAAACCCCCAACGAAACTGCTTCCGGCGACAGCAAATGAAACCCTAGCAGCAGCGGGAACAGCAGCAGCAGCGTCAAAACAACCCCACCATAAAACACCAAATGAACTTTGTTTTCAGTTAATTCCCTCAGAGCTGCTGCTGCGCGGCGGCCACTCCCGGGCGGCCCCCGCCGCCCTGCTGCTGCTGCTGCTGCTGCTGCTGCTGCTGCTGCTGCTGCTGCTGCTGGCTGCGGCGCCGGGCTGCTCGCAGCCGTCGCTGCGTTCGTGTCTTCGCTGCTGAGGCTCAAGGCCGAAGCAGCAGAAGCAGGGGGGCCGCTCGGAGCTGCTGCTGCTGCTGCAGCTTGCCCTGGGACCCTCATTGCTGCTGCTGCTGCTTCTGCTGCTGCTGCTGCTGCTCTTGCTTCTGCAGCTCCTGCCGATGGCGGTGCTGCAACGGGGATTGCTACTGCTGGCGGTGGTGGTGGCGGTGGTGCTGCTGCTGCTGCTGCGCGGGGTGCTGCTGCTGCTGCTGGAGGGGGTGCTGCTGCTGCTGCTGGAAGGGCTGCTGCTGCTGCAGCTGGGAAGGGTGCTGCTGCTGCTGCTGCTGGGGAGGGTGCTGCTTGTGCAGCACCTCCTGCTGCAGCTGGCAGGCCACCTCCTGCTGCTGCTGGGGGACTCATTTCTAATACCTGTAGAGGCAGCTGCAACAGCAGCAGCAGCTGCTGCAGCGGCTGCAGATGCTGCAGCAGCGATGTCGGCAGCAGCAGCAAACTGCTGCCTCTCTAGGGGCTTCCGGGTCGGCTGGCAGCCGGCCCCTACTGCGGGGACAAAATGGCTTGGGAACACCAGAACCAGCAAGCAGCAGCTGCTGCAGCAGCAGCAGCAGCAGCAGCTGCAGCAGCAGCAGCAGCACGGAGCGTCGCCGGTGTGGAGGCTGCTGGAATGAGACACCAGCAAGAAACCCTTTTATATATTTCGCTGAAAATAATCTTTTAGAATTCTGCAGTTGAAGAAAATTGCGCTGAAGTGGGCTCGGCGAAGCCTCAAACCTCGATGCTGCTGCAGCTGCTGCTGCTGCTGCTGCTGCTGCTGCTGCTGCTGTCGTTGCTGCCGTGGCTGTTGCGGGAAGAACAGGAAAACAACTTCAAGACAAGCATTAAAAGTTTGTAGGCAAATGGGTAAGGAATTGTTCTAGTGAGTGCAGCAGCTGCTGCTGCCGATGCTGCTGCTGCTGCTGCTGCTGCTGCTGCTGCAGTCCAGCTGTCACCGTGCCACGTGCTGCTGCTGCCTGTGACAGCTGACCACTGCAGCAGAACAGCAGCAGCAGCAGCAAACGCAACTTTCTCTGCATTTTATCCTCTTATTTGCTCTTCAAAATGATTTAATTATTTAAATTTCAATAAATTAGAACTTTTTGTTCTGTGTGCTTCCGCAAACAGCGCATGCTCAGATGCAGCAGCAGCAGCACACCCGCCTGCTGCCCGAGTCGATTCAGTGCAGACAGCAGCCAGCAGCAGAACCAGCAGCAGCAGCTGCTGCTGCAGCAGCAGCAGCAAAACTTAATTTCTTTTTACTTGAAATAAAAGCAATTACAATTTGCAGTCTTTGCTAGTCATAAAGACTTTCGGGCTGCAGAACAGCCCTCTCAACATCAGCGTAGCAGAAGTAGTCTTGCTGCTGCTGCTGCTGCTGCTGCTGCTGCTGCTGCTGCAGCTGGTGCAGCGATAGCACTGTAGCAGGACCCATATTAGCAGCAGCAAAATGGCTCGCAGCCGCGGCGACTGCCGGGTGAACTGCAGCAGCAGCAGCAGCAACGCACACTGTTTGAGCAGCAGCACCACCTGCCACAGCAGCAGCAGCTGCTGCAGCAAATGCACTATTTGCTGCTTCCACACAGCTAAGCAGCAGAGGGCTGCCAGGGGTGGAAGGCCCCCCCAAGCCTGCAGCCGCGGCGTTGCTTCCCGTGACTTTCACTTTGCTGCTGCTGCTGCTGCTGCTGCTGCTGGCTGCTGCTGCTGCTGCTGGCTGCTGCTGCTGCTGCTGCTCGTGCGCCTACAGCTACAGCCGCCACCAAGTCTTTCCTGCTGCTACCGTTTTTGCTGCTCTCTCTGGAACTCAAAGCAGCAGCAGCACGCGAGGCAGCTGCTGCACCAGCTGCTGCTGCTGCTGGCTTGCTGCTGCTAGGACTAACGCTGCTGCTGCTGCTGCTGCTGCTGCTGCTAGCTGTAGGAGCGAAACATTAAGTTGTTATATGTTGGTTTGCTGCTGTGGCGCCCCCGAAGCTCTGAGGGGCTGCGAAGGCCGCAAGCTGCTGAGCGAACAGGAGCAGCGGGCCCCACAAGTCACCTGCTGCTGTTGCTGCTGCTGCTGCTGCTGCTGTTGCTGCTGCTGCTGCTGCTGTTGCTGCTGAGGGTGCAGCGCCCCCGGGGGGCGCTGCGGCGCGGACTGCACCGGAGGCCCCAGCTGGGGTGCCCTCAGGTGTACGTACAGCTCGTTTTCGCACTACATTACGGCTTTTCGGGTGTATGTACACCTCAAAAATGCATGCATGCGCGCCGCAGTGCCCGCCCGCATGCACCGCCCCGGTGTATGTACACCTCACCGGCGCCCGCATGCAAACGGACCTCAAAGGCGCCTTTTGCTTCCATCTGCTCGCATGCGCGCAGCCCTCTGCGCTGTACGTACACCTCAGCGGCGCATGCATGCATGCCCGCATGCATGCATGCATGCCCGCATGCATGCATGCATGCCCGCATGCATGCATGCATGCATGCACGCATGCATGCGCCTACGCATGCTCGCATGCATGCATGTATGCATGCATGCATGCGTCTACGCATGCTCGCATGCATCCATGCATGCATGCATGCATGCGTCTACGCATGCTCGCATGCATGCATGCATGCATGCATGCATGCGTCTACGCATGCTCGCGCATGCTCGCATGCATGCATGCATGCATGCATGCGTCCACGCACGCGTGCTTGCCTGCCATGCATGCGTGCATGCATGCGCGCATGCATGCATGCATGGCGGCGCGGCTGCATGCAGGGGTGCATGCATGCAGTTGCATGCATGCATGCAGTTGCATGCAGTTGCATGCAGTTGCATGCGGGTGCATGCGGCGCTGAGGTGTACGTACACCGCAGGCCTGCGCGTCGCCGTCGCGGCAGCTGTGAAACCGCCGGCCTCGAAAGCCGGCGGGACTGGAAAGAAATAAAGAAGAAAAAAGAAAAAAGAAATGAAGAAAGAAAAAGCAAAAAAGAAATGAAAGAGCGAGCCTGAGGTGTACGCGCACCTGCGTTCGGGTGTATGCGCAGCTCAGGTGTACGCGCAGCTCAGGTGTATCCGCAGCTCAGGTGTATCTGCACCTCCGCTGCAAAGACTCCATTTGTGCACAAAACACAAAAGCACTAAAAGCCTCAAATATGATTCTTTTCAGGTGTACAGACACCTCGCTTTCCTCAGGTGTACAGACACCTCAGGTGTACAGACACCTCAGGTGTACAGACACCTCAGGTGTACAGACACCTCAGGTGTACAGACACTTCAGGTGTACAGACACCTCAGACGCAACCCGAGACCACACACAAGGGGATACAAAGACACCCGACTCGAACTGCGCAAGTAACGCTGCTGCTGCTGCTGCTGCCGTTGCTGCTGCTGCTGCGGCTCCTTTTGCTGCTGCTGCTGCTGCTTTGACGCAGCAACTCCACTAGCGGGAGCCGCACGGCTCTGCTGCAGCAGCAGCAATTACCATTCGATTCTGCTGCACCCCACACTGCGACGCCTGCTGCAGCAGCAAGCCTTGCTGCAGCAGCAGTCCACTGCTGCTTTGCTGCTGCTTCTTCCGATCTTGCTCCTGCTGCTCTTGCTGCTGCAGCAGATGCTCCTCTTGCTGCTGCTCCATATCGGCCTGCTGCTCTGCCTGCTGCTGCTCCTGCAGCCACAAAGGGTACCAAGCCGCGTCAGCAGCAGCAGCAGCAGGAGCAGCAGCCGTTGCTTCCATAAAGTCCTCCTCCTCCTGCTGCTGCTGCAGCTCTTGCTTCTGTTGCTGTTGCTGCTGTTGCTGCTGCTGCTGTTGCTGCTGTTGCTCTTGCTGTTGCTCTTGCTGTTGCTGTTGCTGCTCTGTCTGCTGCTGCTTGTGCTG